TCCCTGATCCTCCAGTGCTCACTGGGGGAATGGACGGGGGAGGGGGCGGGTACAGCTGGCTCTGCCTCTAGATAGGGAGAGCCAGCTGTCAATCATGCAGCTGGGTGGATATCGACAGTAGTATCGGGATCCGTCCCGGCTGCGGCTGTCTCAGTATACCGCTGAAGCCTTTTAGTGATGGCAAATCACGGAGACACAAATAGCAATAAAAACCTGATAAAGGTCTTAACCCACTGTCACTATGCACAGAACCAAAGAAAATGCTCTGGATGCAGTTCCACTTTTTTTTAGAGAGCACTAGTTATTAGAGGTCTACTCTAACTATTGAGATAATACAGGTGCCAGGGGTTTGCTAAATGCATACATCTACACACTATTAATTATATGCATATATGAATGAATGTGGAAACATTAGGACATATTTGAAATTAAAAGTGGAGATCTCAGGCAGTTTTTAAAGGGGTAATTTACTGATGATGTGTGCACCTAAATTACTCGTATACCAATGGTGCTGCCCACTCCCCCCAGATTTATGTAGAAAAAAAGGCAGAAGATAACACATTTCTTGAAACCCAAATACCATAGATGTCTTTATTTTACAGACTACATGCTGTTTCCATCTTCAAGTGTCTGTAACCAGCAAAAGCTCAAATTTTCTTTATAGTAGTAAAAATCCTACGGCAGGTCAACGTTTCCTCACTCTAGCCAAAAAAGCTTTGGCTGAACATATACTTTAAGCAGTGGTATACTGTCTTCTATACTCTCAAACTAAAGGGCATGGATACACCTATATAAGAGAATGTGAATATACAAACAGTACTAATATAGGAATAGCAAGAACAAATCAGCCACCTACAGTATACAGCACCTGTGTACTAATCACATGCACAGTCACATTTTTTTCCAATATCTATTGTCATTGTTTCCCTAGGTGTAAATGTTTCCTCTCGACTTCTCACATCACGTCTCTTCAAATAAACACAAACAGAAGAATGAGGGAAGGAATGTTGCGTGGTACAAATGTGTTGGCATGCATTTTTTAAGATGAAATCACTCTTTTGCAAAGAAGCAGCTCCTTCCTGTGAAATCACACTTCACTAAGGGCTTGTTCACACCAAGCGCGGAGCAGATCCAGAGCAGAGCAGGTGCAGACCGGATCAAAACTGCGTCCAATGTATTCCAATGGTATTTTTTGCTCCAGTTCACATCGCAGCGTGCAGTTGCAGACCAGATCCAGAGCAGGTGAAAAAACTGCAGCAGGCCCTATTTTACCTGCTCTGGATCTGCTCTGGAACGCATTTTAAACTTTAAACTTTACCAAAAAGAGCCCACTAAAAAGATCACTAAATAGTAGGTAGGTAGACAAATTAGGACCGAGACTGTAACCTGCAGAGAAATAGGGGCAGAGACTGTGACTTGAGTGATCAAGGGGCGAATAACAGATGTCAAGATGCCAATAGCATCTTTTTACCATAGCAGTGGTGAAGAATCAATGAATGAGGAATATACATGACAGCTACTGCTGAGGATTGCAGTTAGGACAAAGAAACAGAAGGAAAAAGAGAAGCAAAGAACAATGAAAAGGAAACGGCACAGTAAAATCAAAGAGGAAAGAGGCAAATAAATGTTAGAGTGGGGGGTTGCGAGGGCCGGTCTTGTGAACTAAAGAATCTCAATGCACATGTTTAATCCAGATGGGATTGAAGATGGGTAGAATTGATACCATATGATTACATATACAACCTTTGTTTTACTTTTAAACATATAATGTATGACAACGGATTCTCACAGCACTATGGATTATCTGAAAAGACAACATATGCTGTTTGCTTTGAGGCTGGCTTTGCCTGATAGAAACCTCAGGTGGAGTAGTCTGACATTTGATATATCACAGTTCTGACTCTTTCACTTGAGCTACTGTGGAAACAGGTGTCTTCACGATCTGCTCATGGATGTGCTTTCATTATCTACTTATGGACATGCTATATGCTGATGGGTGTACCTTTATGGTCAGCTCATGATGAGCCTTTATAATCTGTTCAGGCACTCCAGTTCATGCTTAGTCAATGGAAATGGTAGGAGAGATGAGAGTGGTGTAAGCAGAGACTGGCAGCAGCTCTTTTAACAAACTTTGGACACACGGCACAGTACACCCCAGAGCTGGAAGGGAAATAAAATGGCAACATCAAACTCTATATGACCAGTACACCTATACATCAGGAGCTCTGGCATTGTAATTGTTCGGCATAAAGATTTTGCCAAGCTCTAATCAACAACATGCACTGAGTTGGGCTAGTCTCTTTACTCCAGAAGATATCACCGGTAATATTTTTTTTTAAAATGCACTTGCATTGGAGAGCAGAGGAAGCAATGTTTTTGTTTTTTAGACTGTAATAATTTTCATGCAAGGTCTACTTTATATTGTAGATTCTAAATTGAAATTATGGAATTCATCTTTTTGTCTCTTCTAACTTACAGGGCTATTCACAAAAGGGTGAAGAGTTTGGAGAAGGCAGGAGAAGTGAACAGTCTAGGACAACATAGCTAATTTGGAAAAATTCCCCAATTCAGCTCACTTTCCAGTTCAGCTATGTTGTCCTAGATTGTTCACTTCTCCTGCCTTCTCCAAACTCTTTACCCTTTTGTGAATAGCCCTATTAATTACCTATCTGATTCTCCAATCAGAACATTTATTTTATCTTGGATTAAGAGGGTAAGAATTAGAATTACTCTCAGGCTTTTATGACAGCGCCTGCATTGTTGAAAAGATGCCCCAGTTACAATTGTCATCATTCAAACTTTACCAAAGAAAAAAATAATTTTCAAAGTGACACTAAACTCAGGGGTTAAAACTTAAAAATGCATTCACATACCTTACCTATTAACACAAATGTAGTTTTGTGGTGCATCACTCAGCTGTAGATCCTCAAATCAGCTCTGAATTGGTGCTGACACTGTCCTTCCTTCTGGAGGGTGACTACTTTTGTTCCCCATGGTCCCTGTGTGTGTTGTAAAGTAGCCACCACTCCAAGTTTGCTCCAATGATGGACTACAATCTCAATACAAATTAGTATAAAATGTATGTGCTAAAATGTTATACTGTCAGCTGTCTGGTATTTTAGTAACTTCCTTCCAAAGGTTCAGAGTAATGTAAATTTGTAATGTGTTTTGTATAGTTAGATTGCTACCTTTGCTCAGAGTGACACTTATTGTGGATTTACATTTTTCTTGATTATTTATCCAATGTACATGAGGATTTTCATACTTAAAGTGACATTAAACCCTCAGATTTTTTAACATAAACCAATACTGTAATCCATGGTTGTTTCCCTTCTCTTTGCTGCTCTTCCTTTTAAATCTGTATCTGTTCTCATGCTGGGCAGAACTTCTGTTTTGCAGCAGACTGCCTTGTCTCTGAATGGATACATGGTGTCTGTGTGTTGGTTTGCAACCTGAGCCAGCACTACAGGAAGAGGCACTCAGCTGCAAAGGGAAGTTCTCCCCAAGCATGAGAAGACATGAGGATTTAAAAGCAAGAGCAGCAAAGAGAAGGGAAACTACCATGGATTACAGTAAGGCACACATTACAGTATTGGTTTATGTTAAAAAATCTGAGGGTTTAATGTCACTTTAACCTTTGCATTATAAAGTCCTTCAAGGTGGCAATGAAGATGAACACTCTGCGTTCGCTGTTCATGCTGAATATAGTTTTAGATT